CCCACCCAATCCACACCAGGGCACTGCCCCCCACACCTCACCTTGATCAGCCGCTCCATATCCGCCTCCAGGTTGACGATGGTCATCCTCTGCATGACAACGTCAAAGATGCGCCGCTCCAGCAACTGCCACTTGAGCCGGGCCGCCTTGCTGAAGGTCTGGCTCATCCCCTTCTTTGGGAACTTCTTCCTGGAGTGGGATGGGACATGGTCAGGGGGCTTCCACCAGGCGGGCGCTCGGCCATCACGCCCGCTAGTGCTCAGGACAGAGGGGCATTTACACATCAGGTCTCCAGCCAATGTGGAGAGTCTCACGTGTCAAACCACATGGCAGAGTCGCCCACGATGATAGAGCGATTGTTTCCCGTGTTCCCACAGAACTCCGCTCCCATCTAACACCCAGGAGCCCGGGGCCTGAGGGCCAAGCAGGGAACGAGGCCGCGGGGGACACGGATTCGGAAGCACTGGTCTGACCTGACGGGCCGAGCCCCATTCACGGAGGGCGAAGGGTCTCTCAGGAAGTGGTCGATTTTCAGGTTCCACTGGCGCACAATGCTGGAGACCGAGCGAGAGCCGGACTTCGGTTCCGAGGAGGTGGTGCTGACGGACACCTCCGCACCCGAGTCCAGCATGGCTGGCTTCTGATTCGGCCTCCCAGAGACCCCGTCCGACATGGGCTTGGCCAGGCGGCGCAGAGCAGAGACCTGGGTGAGAGCAGTGCCTGAGGGCTGGGCCTCCTGGGAACACCCGCAGGGGGCATCGCCCCCCAGCCGCAGAGCGACTCCAACGCTTCTCAGGTGGCAAAGTGAGCCCGGGAGCAGCTGAACACCTTTCAAGAGAGCTGAGCCTATCTGGGCTGGGTGAAGGTCCAGTACCCTTGGATAGCAGTTTCCCAGAATGCATCAGGAGGGGCTGGGATCGAAGCACCGCACCGTCCTGCGAGCTGTACGGGTGCTGGGGCAGGAGGCAGCCTGGATGAGTCACGTGACCAACTCAGCTGCCAGGACCCAGCTCCAGGAAGGAGGGAGGGGGACACAGCCTGTTGTGCATGGTCGCACATGGCATGCAGAGAATTCCTCCTTCCTGACCCCAGAAGATCAGCTGCCCCCGGAGGCAGGCGTTTCCTCCCTCGCAATCACTGTCATCTCCTGCCTGGTTACTCCTGGCCATAAAATCACCAGGCTCTGTGGGAAATCCACCCCACCAAGGGCCAGCGCCTTGGGAACAACCCAGCATTGGCGGAGCACGACCCACTGGGACAGCAGAGGGGACTATTCCATCTGGAGAGGCCCCAGGGCCCTGCCCTGCCAACGGCCCGATCCAGGAGCCAGGCCTCAGCGCCCACCCAGTCACGGCCCCGTCAGCGGCTCTCCAGACCCCCGCAGGTGCAGGGGCTGGCACTCACCTCCTGGGTTTTCCTTCGCAGCACGATTTCCTGCTGCTGCTTCTGAGACTCCAGCGCCCGGATCTGAAACTGCGCGGGAGAGAAGCCGAGCCTGTCGAGTCCTGAGGGGGCGTGAGCCGCTAAAGAGGAACCCAGGGTCTGGGGTAGAACCCATGGCAGCAATGGGGGAAGGGGAGGTGACCCAGGGCTCCCCCACCCCCTTGCCTGGGGCCAGCACATGGCATGTTCTCAGTGCAGGCCATGGGCCAGATTTTGATCTCACCAGCAGCGGTATAAAACCTGGAGCAACTGGGGCTAATCAGGATTTATTCTGCTGTAACCGATGGCAGCACTGTGGCATTTGTACCTGTCCTGAGCAGCAACCAGAGATGCAGGAGGAAGCAATCACCTCCTCTGACCTGGGGAAGGCGGAACCTGCCACCCCACCAGGTGCTGATCTCAAGGGATGGACAGACAGATGGACATGTGGTTGGGAGAGGGGACGTGCTGCGCCTTCAGCAGAGGGAGGAGTCCCCAGACAGTCGGTGGGGTGGCTGGTTTCCGCACAGGGTGCCCAGCACACAGCTCCCCAACCAGGCAGGGTTTTACGCTGTTCTATGCTGCCGGCCCCATTCTTGGCTTCACAGGACCTGCAGGCCTTGGCCGGCCAGTGGCCCAACACGGGATCTGAGAGGAGCGGGCCTGGGTGCCAAGCCGGGCACTGATCCCAGCGGCCGGGCACCCAGAAGAGCTCTAACACACTGTCGAGCAGAGGTAGGGCAGGACTGAACGTGGAATGTTCTCGATGCAGGTGACGGCTGGATTCACATCGCAGCAGCAGCAGTGTAAACCTGGAGCGACTCCGCTAATGTCAATGCAGTTACTCCAGATTTACAACGAGCGTAATAGAGAGTGGAATCTGGTCCTCTGTTGGTGCAGCGCTTGCTCCAGATCTCCCATCGCCTTGCTCAGCCATCCCTGCGGCTCAGCCCCAGCTTTGCAGGGCTCCCCTGCTGCCCCATATCCTGAATGGCCCCACTCCCTGTCTCAGCCCTGCTCCGTCACAGGGGCTCCCCTGCCCCTGCCCCACCCTGCGTCAGGGACTCTGGGTGCAGGCTGGCTCACCCAGGTAACTGCTCACCTGTGTCAGGTCCCCTCTCCTGTGCACATCATGCATCAGCGAGGGCTCTCCAGC